GTGGGAAGGTGAGCAGGTGGGCATGTGGGAAGGCAGTCTGAGGCCCTGGGGGCGGGGTCAGGATGAGGGTGAAGGCAGATGAGGGGCCCATCCTTATTGTCCTCAGCCCCCCAACCCCCACTCTGGCCCCCCACTCCCTCTGTGCAGGGAGAAGGCCAAGGAGCTGTGGCAATGCATCTACAACCTGGAGGCTGAGAAGTTCGACCTGCAGGAGAAGTTCAAGCAGCAGAAATACGAAGTGAGTGACTCCGCCTTTCCCACGCCCCCCTACAGATCAACGTGCTCCGAAACAGAATCAATGACAACCAGAAAGTGTGAGTCTCTGGGTGTGGCCTCCCCTTGCCCCGCCTCCTCCCTCTTGTATTCGGCCTGGTGGCCTCCTCCAGCGCCCAGGCCTCCTCCTCTGGCCTCCAGGGCCTCCCTGTCCCCTCCGCCTTGGCCACTGCCCACCCAGGCTGCCCCTCCCACCCTCTACGCAGTTCTGGACGTAGGCCATGAGGGCGTCGATGAGCCCCGCGTAGTTGCGCATGGTCTGCCGGCCGGCATCGGCCGAGCTGAGGTTCCTGAGGGACGGAGAGGGGGTGGTGGGCGCCTGCAGGAGGCTTGGTCGGAGGCGCCCAGAGAGGACAGGGAAGCGGAGGGAGCAGGGAGGAGGGAAGGAGAAGCGGAAGGGCCGGCTCTGGCGGCGAGGTCCTTTCCACCCCTCTGTCCGCCCACAGAGTCCACCAGCCCGTCGGTCCCGCGTGTCCGTGGCTCGTGTGGCCCCGGGCACTTGTGAACCAGGGGCTGGATGGAGCCCCGCCTGCCTGCCTGCCCGTCTCTTTCTGGGGGTGCTGGGGGGCCGGTGCTGATCTGGGACAGGAGCCAGAGGTCCCTCCCTGCAGCCTGGGCCTGGTCTTTCATCTCCAGCCTCTGCTCCCCGGGCGGCTGGCTGGGGGGCCGGGGGGAGCTGAGACCCAAAGCCCCTTGCCAACGGCACCCCAAGCCTGCGAGGGCCCCCAGGGCTTGGGGGAGACAACCCCCTGGGAGCAGGTGTGACCCCCTTAAGGGATCCGCTCCACCACGCCCGCCCCGCCCCGCCAGGCACCCACTCCCAGCTCCTAAAGCTGTGGGGAAGTGAGGCCCCGCCCCCCAGCGCCCCGAGGGGCCTCGCCACACCCCGGAGAGGCCAAGAAGCGCCAACTTCATGCCAATGATGAACGTCGGGGAGGGTTTTAGCCCGCAGCCCGGAGGTGACTCATGAGCAGCCGGGACAGACTTTTGTCTAAAAGAAGGCTCTTCAAGACGGGACAAGAGGCGCATTTTTCCAGGGGCCGAGGAGGGAGGGCCCGTTTGGATGGGCAGATCCAGTTCCCGCTCTGAGATGCCTGTCCATGTCGGCACCCACCCTGGGGAGGCCTCCTGCCCGGCCTGTGTCCCCTCCGACTGGGCCCTGCTTCTCCCTCAGCTCCAAGACCCGGGGGAAGGCCAAGGTCACCGGGCGCTGGAAGTGAAGGCCCAGACCCGCTCCCGGCCGTGTCCTGCCCGCCCTGCAGGCCCCCAGCTCCTGGGCCTCCTGGCACGGGGCCGGGCGGGGAGCAGGTCCTGTCTGGCCACCGCCACACACGGCTGCAACCCACATGCCCACACCCCGCGGGTAATAAAGCCACCGCCCACCCAATGGCATTGCTGTCTCTTTCTTTCTTTCATTTTATTTTATTCATGTGTTTTTTTGTTAGTCCTCACCCAAGGATATTTTCCCATTGATTTTGTAGAGAGAATGGAAGGGAGAGGGGAGAGACAGAGAGAGAATTATCCATATTGTAATCCTCAGAACTTGGAATATATTATCTTACTAGAGGCCCTGTGCACGAATTCGTGCATGGGTGGGGTCTGGCCCACCCGCCCCACTTGGGGCCAATTAGGCCTGGCTGGCCAGGGGGAGGGGCCATGGGTGGTTGGCCTACTGGCCCTGCCCCCTGGTCGAACTCCCAGTTGAGGGGACAATTTGCATATTAGCCTTTTATTATATAGGATTACATAGGATGTGGCAAAAGAGGCTTTGCAGGTGTAGTTAAGTTGAGGATCTTCAGATGGGGAGAGTATCCTGGATTATCCAGGTGGGACCAATATAATCACAAGAGTTCTTATAAGACGGTGGTTCTCAACCTTGGCTGCACATTAGAATCACCTGGGAATCTTTTTTAAATCCTGATTTCTGGGCCTCATCCTCCGGAAATTCTGTTTCTTTGTTATGGGGTGGGTGGCCCCACCCCATAACTAAGAAACAGAATTTCCGGAGGATGAGGCCCAGAAATCAGGATTTTAAAAAGATTCCCAGGTGATTCTAATGTGCAGCCAAGGTTGAGAACCACTGAGCTAGGGCTTCCATGACTTTCTCTGTCTCACTTGGCGGGGTAGGGGGGGGACCTCCCTCACCGAGTCCCTGGGAGACCGAGGCCTCTAGAGGAAAAGGGGTCCAGAGAGTGAGGAGGAGAAAGTCAAGTCCCCGCCCGTGGCTGCCCCGTCTGTGCCAGGGCAGGACCGAGGTGGCAGCATCCACTCCCAGGCGGGCCTCACCCCTGACTCCATAGCCGGTTTCTGGCAAGGGTGGGGCAGGTCCCTCCCTGGGCGGGGGGCTGGGGTGTCCTGTCCCAGGCTGGGTGGGGGTTGGCTGGAGGACAGGGCAGGCCGAGGAGTCCGTGTCCCTGCTGTTCCCTAACCCAGAACGCCCCTCCTCCCCTCCCTGGAACCCTACCTCTCCCGTCCCCCAGGGCTGCTCGATCCTCGATCTCCCAGGAAGTCTCTGGGGGGCCCCTGAGTGTCCATGGCTTCCTCGGGCAACACATCCAGAAACCAGGTCTGGGTGCCCCGCCCGCCTGCCCTCCCTCCTGTCCCTGTCCACTGACTCCTCCCCAATTCTCAGCTCCCAGCCCAGCAGCTGTGGGGGTGCAAACTGCTGGCCACTGAGAGGACTGTCTCCACGCGGGGGCGGGCACCCCTGGGCGCTCAGGCCCTGGCCACACCAGCCACACCTTCCCCACACCCTAATCCCACAGCAGCTTCCCCGGTAAATCAGGCCCGGGCGGTGCAAAGCTGAAGGCGGGGGTGGGGGGTGTGGTAGAGAGGAGTTCTATGGCTGCTTTTCAGGAACCTGGATGGAGGGCGGTGGGAGGTGGTGCGGTCCCCGGGCGGCTCCCGGCTGAGATTGTGCTGACGCCGTTCTGACTGATGGGGATCAGAGAGACCTGCTGAGTACAAGCGGCCTCACCCCTGTCCTGTCCCCACCCAGCCCTCCCCTGCCAACTTCCCAGAGGAGCCGGCCGCGGGGACGCAGGAGGCAGGAGGTCACTTGGTTGCTGCTGGGGGTAAAGGACAAAAGGAGTTCTTCCCCCCTGAACTTGACACAGGGACCCCTCCGGCCCCATATCTGCCACCAAGTAGCCCTACTGTGTGCCTTTGCCCTACTGTGCGCCTGGCGCTGCGCTGAGTACCTTACACACATCCTCCGACTACAGCAGAGTCAGGGCCTTGCAGAGACAACCCATTTCACACACAAGTAAACCAAGGCTAAGAGAGGGGAGGTGACCTCTGAGGTCATAATCTAGGGTCCTGATTGTTCGGATTACGTGTTTGTTGTTGTTATTTTAATTTGCTTGATACACTTTCTACCAAGTTAAATGGGTATCTGATAGGAACAAGGAAAAGCACATCTTAAAAGACATTGAGCCCTCGCTGGTTTGGCTCAGTGGATAGAGCCTTGGCCTCCAGAGTCCGGGGTTCGATTCCCCGACAGGGCACATGCCCCCGGGTTGTGGGCTCGGTCCCCCAGTAGGGGGGCGTGCAGGAGGCAGCCCATCCATGATTAGCTCTCATCATGGATGTTTCTCTCTCTCTCTCTTCCTCTCTGACATCAATAAAAATATATATTTTTAAAAATAAAAAATAAAACAACTTGCTAATTAACACAGGCCTCGTTCTCACCTTCTCGCGGGCCAGACCGGGTGCTTCTTGGGGCGGGACCCCCTGTCTGTTCATCCACAGACCCCGGCCCCCTTCCCCCCACTCGCTGACAGCAGGGCATCCCCCGCAGTGGGCGGGTCTTGCACGAGGTCAGGGGGCGGGTC